GCATCACTGGAGTTAGAAGACTAACCTAACAGTATGCTCATGGGTAAAAGAGCAACCAACAAACAATCTAAGCAACAAAAAACAAACAGAAAAACAATTAAACTAAAACAAACAAAAAACCCCAAAACAAAACAAAATAATTTCTTTTATTTTTGGAAAGATGCAATTCACCTGTACATGGTTTAAAATATCAAATACCTGGTTTCTGTGGAGTAAGCCCTTCATCACAGGGTTTTACAGGAGCTGTGCAGGACTAAATTATTCAAACAACAAACTAATATTAGATAAGTTTACAATTTAAAAGCTTTAAAACACTATGTATAAGTTTCTTTTTTGAAATACATGTAGAATGAAAAGATTGAATGATCCTCTCCTCAGCTGACCTCCTAAAATGGGTTTTGCACACTTTCATGCATCACTTCTCCTCACAGTTTAAGTTCTGCTGTCACACATGCTCTCATACACTTTCATTGAAAACTGAGTCAGGATGGTGTTTCCTATGTTGGTGGTTCTTTTGTTAGGCTTTCTGAGTCAGGGTGAGAGATTCTCACATTTAAGACACAGACTGTTTTATATTTGATGAAATTTTCTTTGTTCTTTTTATGTTTGTGTCTAAAAAACAAACTTGTCATTTTATTCTTCATTTCAGAGTCATTTGCCAATAATTTTCTGACTCAGACTGATAAAACCAAGTCTGTCAGTCTTGGTGGGACTGTGACCATCAGTGCTACAGGAAGTTCAAACATTGGTGCTGATCTCAGTTGGTACCTTCAGAAAACTGGAGAGAGTCCCAAACTTCTTATATACGGAGCATCAAGTCTCTCTTCAGGAACTCCGTGGCAGTAGATCTGGTTCTCAGTACACTTTAACCATCAGTGGGTTTCAGTCTGAAGATGTTGGAGATTGTTACTATTTGGGCTGTCGTTGTAGTCGGATGTTTAAACAGTGATTTATAGCAGTACAAGAACCTCCTTCAGTCTGGTTAAAGGCTGCAGGTGCAGTGTGCTGGACTGTGATGAGAATAACTAATCCACTAACACAAGAATCATCAACCACAAACGCACTGAATAAAACTAAAACTAAAGAAGTATACAACTACGTTTATAATGATTCAACCTTTATATTTATCATTAAATATGAGCAAAAGTTCATGAGCACGTCTTTTTTTAAGTGTAATAACAGAAACTGATCTTTATGTATTTAGTTACCTTCATAAATGGCATTTTTTATAAAAGATATAAATGATCATAGATATAGAATAAAAGGTTAAAACATTAGTGATTTTTCATGAACTGGGATTTTATTTTGTGATGCAGACTTGTTTTTTATAGCATGATTTCAAAGTACAACATGAACAAGCAAATGAAATCTGCATGCATAACAATAGAGAGTCAAATGTTTGCAGAAAAATAGGAACAAACAAAACCTGTAGCTTCATCAAACACATCATGCAGACAGGAAGTGTTGCTGAAGCTCTACTCTTAGCAGTGGTCAGGGTCCAGGGTTTGAGTGACGGGGCTCTGTCCACTCAGACTGGCCTCACAGCTCACCTTCTCTATGACCATCAGTGGAGTTCAGGCTGAAGATGCAGCAGTTTATTACTGTAAGAGTTACCACGGCGGTGGGGTGTTCACACAGTGATTTGCAGTCGTACAAAAACCTCCCTCAGTCAGACTGCAGAGACACTGAGCTGTTACAGCAGGAACTGACTGCAGCTGCTGAAGAGGAAGAAACTCTGACACAGACCACTGAAAACAGAGCTGACAGTAATCTCACCAAGCACTAAATCCAGAATTGTGCAGATATATTTGATTTGGGGTGATTTTAGAAAGGATAAAAAAAACCCAGACCCATCCACAAAGTCGCTTTCTCATTGTGTTTCCACCTGTATTCACAGGAAGAGTTGGCAAATTACACAGAAAGATCAGATTTTTTTTTACATTTATATTCCCATTAAGTCTCTTGATGATTATAAAACAAAGTGATCTGAGTTTTTAATACTGTATGATCCCACATGTATAATGATTTGTATAATGATCAATTAGAAAATGGTAGGTACAAATACAGCGCCTCTGGAAAGTATCCACAGTACTTTACTTGTTCCATATTGTGTCACATTACATCCTTATTCCAAAATTTAACTACTGAGATTCGCTTCTTTTCCACTTGATGATCTGCTGCACCTTGCGATGTGGTAGGACTGTATCACTCACACTTTCACACACAGCTGGTTATACATGAGATCACTGACTGACATTCTCTCTCCCCTATTTTCTTTCACACCCTGGGAATTTTTTGGACTTTACCCCTTGGACATTTTTTTATTTGGGACTTTGAACAATAAGCTGTTGTGTAGAACATTCTCCACATGTGAAAAGAGTGTGAGATTTTCATTTGAATGTACAATGGATTTGTGCAATCTGTTTCTATAAGAGTTAAGGAGTCAGGTTACTAGGGTGCACCCGAGCATTGAAACCCAACGTTGAAACCGAGAATTGAAAACCAAAAGTAACATATGGCCAAGTCATTGTCTTAGCAGTTTATGTGTTTTACTTTTCTTTCATTTTTGTAAGTTTCCTTTCTGCAACTGTAAAGTGCCTTTAACCTGTGCTTGTCAACCTTATGTTTTTTTCACTAAAGTCGGCTGGTTCTTTTGAGTTACATTCTTGTCTCTGTGTCTCATTTAAACACACCCCTGTGCTCCTATAGTCGAACCTATTGGCCCATTGATATATTCTTTTCAACAATTCCCCTTACTGTCTTACATATACAACTACATTTATAGTGATTTAACCCTTATATTTATCATTAAATATGAGCAAAAGTTCATGAGCACATCTTTTTTAAGTGTAGTGACAGAAACCAATGTGTATTTATTTCCAAACTTTAATAAATTGCATTTTTTCTTTATAAAAGTTATAAATTCTTATAGATAAAGAATCAAAAGATAAAACATTAGTGATTTTTCATGAACTGGGATTTTATTTTGTTCCAGACTTTCTTTTTATAGCATGGTTTGAAAACACAATGTGAATAAACAGATGACATCTGCATGCACAACAACAGACAACAATGTTTGCAGGAAAATTAAAACAAATGAAACCTGTAGCTTCATCAAACACATATGCAAACAGGAAGTGTTGCTGAAGTTCTACTCTGAGCAGTGGTCAGGGTCCAGGGTTTGAGTGACAGGGCACTGTCCACTCAGACTGGCCTCACAGCTCACTGAGCCCGCCTTCCTCCACTGGTCTGCAGAGAGGCTCAGGGTGCTGCTCCAGCTGTAGTGGCCGTCTGTCCCCAGGACCTCCAGGCTGCTTGACACACCTGAGGATGTGCTGGTGCCCCCCACCTTCCAGCCCAGCTTCCAGTTTGAGGGGAAACCGCCGGCAGCCAAACACACCAGAGTGGCACTACTCAGTTTGTCTTCCTCTTTGGATGGAGGGAGGACAGTGAGGGTGGGCCTCACCACACCCACTGGAGGAGAGAGTGGGGAGAAGAGCAACCAAAGACATAAGAATCAAAGCAGGAAAGAAATACCTACAGTGTTTATTTGTGATATTTTTTAAAGTTTTGCATATATCCATTATGTGATTTCAATGTTAATCAAGTTATTATTTCTATAAAGTTTTACAGTAAATATCTCATCTATGTGATAATTTTCAATGTTACACTCACAGAGTTGAAACACTCATGTACAGTTGAAACTTTGTCATCTGCTTCTTTCACTTCCTTTAAACTACAAGTACAATCAATCATCCATGAACTCAAAGCTGGTCTGTGTTTACTGACACTTTTTTTTAACTTTTGGGGAAATCCATAAAATACTGATATTTTCAAAATAGAAACAATAAAGTAATAAATCCACAAACACTATATTTGACCATCAAAGCTTGAAAATAACAAAACCTGAAATATTTTAACTGGAAAATACTAAAAAGATATTAATTAAAATTTCAGAGAAACTTAAAAATGAAAAGGGAACAAAATATTTTTTGTGTGTGTTTTTTGTGGGTTTTTTTTAACATAAATTCTAACATTTGTAAAACTGAATGAGTTTCTCAGGGAAGTTATTTTGCAGACTGTGAGATCAACTTTGTTTTATAAATAATGAAAATGATCAACAACAATCACCAAACTTGATCAAATATCTTTTCAAAATTTTATAAAATGTTTTGTAATGGTAGTAAATTAAAATTTCTGGTACTTACAGTCAACGGTGAGTTTGGTTCCTCCACCAAAAGTCCACCACCCATTGTGGTACAGACCTCAGTTACGAGGTGGCGCGGTAGCATAATACTCCTGCACTACTGATCAGGACATCTGGACAACTGATAAATGAACCTTTTATTCATGTGTTGAAAACTAACCATTCACATCGCGAACACGCTGTTAGCATTTAATATGCTAAATTGTTTGTGATTGGTGATCATAAAGTGACTTTAAGTGTTTCATACTTAATTTACTATAGAGTCAGATTTGAATCATTTTAGTTCAACTGAAAAAACGAATTTTCACATCACACAATATTACACAAAGGTGTTTAAGCACAGCAAGCTAGAAAGTGTTCAAAATTTATATGTATTCTGAGATTTGTTTACTATATTGAACATACTGAGATATTTTTAGATGCTTACCAGGTATTGTATGTTGTTGGTATGGAAAATCAATAAGTAACATTTCAAACCGAAGTGCCATTTAATCGGCAGGTGTTGTTAAAAATATGGTTAAATATGTTTCCAATATATTTTTCGTTCGGTCTCTCTCCATAAATATCTGTGTAACAAGGTCTTAGTTGCTTAAAATAATTTTGCGTTCTGCTTTTTGTGCCTTCGAAGTTTCACTTCAGCTGTGTTGAAAGACAAGATAACAGAGAAATCTTGTATTTCCCATATACGAGAGGAGGCTTTGCATCATCATTGTCTATTCCTCTAGAGAACTGAGAAGGTTTATGTCCTGTGATTCATACTACTGCAGGACTCACATCTGTCAGTCAACACAGCAGAAAGCACATACCACATGACTCTCGATCACATCATCCTATTTCTTTGGACCTGCGTGGACCTGCTGCTGTATTTACATATTCACTACAGCAACAGTGTGTCCAGTAACATTGATGTGTGCTTTTTCTACTCAGTTGGATTACGCTGCTAATGAATGATTTGTTTTTGTTGCAGTGATGCGGTCAGTGCTGATGATCAACGGCGGGTAGAATAGAGTTATACATAGGCTCTCGTCACTGGCGTGACCGGTCAGACCCAGAGCCGTCAGAATGGCGTGGGTTTATGTGAGCGAAATGGTCTATCTGATAACCACTTATCTACCTGAGGACAGCCAGTGTAGAGATTGGTTGATGAGTGACGATAGTTCGTATCAGACAGATGGACAGACTCCAAAGCTCTAATAAAATATTGTGAAAACGACTCAGTCAGGAACGCCAACTCGATTTAGTGGCAGTGGAAGCAGCTCTGACTTCTCTATGACCATCAGTGGAGTTCAGGCTGAAGATGCAGCAGTTTATTATCTGTGAGAGTCAACATAACATAAACAGTGCTTGGGTGTTCACACAGTGATTTGCAGTCGTACAAAAACCTCCCTCAGTCAGACTGCAGAGACACTGAGCTGTTACAGCAGGAACTGACTGCAGAGGAAGAGACTCTGACACAGACCTCACAGTAACTTCACTGAGCAATAAACACATTCAAGGGCATTTTAACATAAGGATTTAAATAAATAAACAATTACGTTTTTAATAAAAACATAACAACTAATTTTAGTTAGGTTTCCTGACTGTAGTCACAGCAAGAGTAGTCGTTCATATGAACAAATGAAATATATTTTCTTTACCTTTGTATTCATAGCAAGTTTGTTCATCATGACATTTAAAAACAACAAAAACCAACTGCCAGTTTCAAGTTTTTTACTACTGTGTTATGTCACATCATTTTCATACAATTCCTCACCATTTTCAAGCTATTGACACTCTACCAGGAGAAATTCAAATTCAGGAGAAATCAACTGAAATCATCTAGTAGGTAGTTTTAATTGTAAATAATAAATGTAACCCATTGTGCTTGTCATTAACTAAGAACACTCCCCCTCCCCCCGACAAACAAAACCTAAGATATCATAAAGCGAATTTGTGGTTATTGCAAAAAGTTTGTGCTATGTTGACAAACATGAGTCAACCAGAGATTAAAGTGAAAATTTGAAGGAGGGGGAGCCCTAAGAGTGGGTGTTGAGGTGCAGTGTGGGGAAAATAATTACTTAGAAATAAGTCACATCATAATTTGTGTTGTGAGCTCCAGTAAATTGCCTTTGCTTGTGTGTATGTGTGTGTAGCTGTGGTCAGCTGACCTGAACAAAATGTAAGTAGAGAGCCATATGACTGATCTCCAACAATGCAGAGACTATAAATATAATATAATAGAGAACTTTGCGAGGGCACTTTTGTTGATAAATGGTGTTAGTAGTAGGATAATAAGGCAGAAAAAGAAAATAATAATATGTTAATTTCTAAACTATTACCACTCAATTACCTGTGGTAGTTTCTGTGTAATAAGCATGCAAAATACAAAGCTGCCTGTTTCTATATAATATCATATTAATAACCTATTTGAAAACATTTCCTGGTAGTTTCAGCAGGAAATAAACAGAAATAAGAAAAAAGCAGAGCTGCAAAATGCAAAACTGCTGGTTTGTATTTATTAACACATTAATAACAACGTTAATACTGTTTTATAACAAACTTACAGAATAGCAATGACTACCAGGAAACACATGTGATGTTTTCTGTGTAATAATCTGTAATTTAATACCATGGTAATGATAACTCATTAAAACAAGCACCACCCAGACTTCACAGGTGCAGGTGTTCTCACTGACCCATGCTATAATTTGAATATGCATCCAGTAATGTGAAATTTTTCAATTTTTAACAAGACTGGTCTGCACAATAGTAATAATGTTTTATCCCTGTCACACTGAATGTTTTGTCATCAAAGTAACTGCAACACACTCTGGTGGACATAATATAACAAATTGACTAAAATGAGCTTTTTGGACTTAATTGGAAGGGAACTCACCGCATCACTGGAGTTAGAAGACTAACCTAACAGTATGCTCATGGGTAAAAGAGCAACCAACAAACAATCTAAGCAACAAAAAACAAACAGAAAAACAATTAAACTAAAACAAACAAAAAACCCCAAAACAAAACAAAATAATTTCTTTTATTTTTGGAAAGATGCAATTCACCTGTACATGGTTTAAAATATCAAATACCTGGTTTCTGTGGAGTAAGCCCTTCATCACAGGGTTTTACAGGAGCTGTGCAGGACTAAATTATTCAAACAACAAACTAATATTAGATAAGTTTACAATTTAAAAGCTTTAAAACACTATGTATAAGTTTCTTTTTTGAAATACATGTAGAATGAAAAGATTGAATGATCCTCTCCTCAGCTGACCTCCTAAAATGGGTTTTGCACACTTTCATGCATCACTTCTCCTCACAGTTTAAGTTCTGCTGTCACACATGCTCTCATACACTTTCATTGAAAACTGAGTCAGGATGGTGTTTCCTATGTTGGTGGTTCTTTTGTTAGGCTTTCTGAGTCAGGGTGAGAGATTCTCACATTTAAGACACAGACTGTTTTATATTTGATGAAATTTTCTTTGTTCTTTTTATGTTTGTGTCTAAAAAACAAACTTGTCATTTTATTCTTCATTTCAGAGTCATTTGCCAATAATTTTCTGACTCAGACTGATAAAACCAAGTCTGTCAGTCTTGGTGGGACTGTGACCATCAGTGCTACAGGAAGTTCAAACATTGGTGCTGATCTCAGTTGGTACCTTCAGAAAACTGGAGAGAGTCCCAAACTTCTTATATACGGAGCATCAAGTCTCTCTTCAGGAACTCCGTGGCAGTAGATCTGGTTCTCAGTACACTTTAACCATCAGTGGGTTTCAGTCTGAAGATGTTGGAGATTGTTACTATTTGGGCTGTCGTTGTAGTCGGATGTTTAAACAGTGATTTATAGCAGTACAAGAACCTCCTTCAGTCTGGTTAAAGGCTGCAGGTGCAGTGTGCTGGACTGTGATGAGAATAACTAATCCACTAACACAAGAATCATCAACCACAAACGCACTGAATAAAACTAAAACTAAAGAAGTATACAACTACGTTTATAATGATTCAACCTTTATATTTATCATTAAATATGAGCAAAAGTTCATGAGCACGTCTTTTTTTAAGTGTAATAACAGAAACTGATCTTTTATTTATTTCAAACTTATAAATTGCATTTTTTATAAAAGTTATAAATTCTTATAGATAAAGAATCAAAAGATAAAACATTAGTGATTTTTCATGAACTGGGATTTTATTTTGTCGTGCAGACTTTTTTTTATAGCATGGTTTAAAGACACAATGAAAAACAGATGACATCTGCATGCAAACAAAGAGTCAAATGTTTGCAGAAAAATAGGAACAAACAAAACTGTAGCTTCATCAAACACATCATGCAGACAGGAAGTGTTGCTGAAGCTCTACTCTTAGCAGTGGTCAGGGTCCAGGGTTTGAGTGACGGGGCTCTGTCCACTCAGACTGGCCTCACAGCTCATTGAGCCTGCCTTCCTCCACTGGTCTGCAGAGAGGCTCAGGGTGCTGCTCTGACCACTGACACTTCTAAACCTCGAAGGTATGCATATGTGTGAACTTGGAGATACTCCATGGACATGGAGTTTCACACTAATTCACAATTTGGATTTCTTTGATGTTTTTATCACCTGTGCAAAGTTGTACTTGGCAACAGTTTGTTTCTTGCTATCAGTCTGTTTCCTTTTGACACATTTCTAAGTTTGAACATTTAGTATGTATGCACAGAGGTGTTACATGGTGAGTACACACACAGACATTACAATATAGAAGTGTGGTTTAAAGATTAAAAAAAAAAGATTAGTTGTGAATTAATTTTCCATTTTATGGAGCAGAAAACATTGCTGGATGCTAGCTAATTGGCTACATTTGGATGTCAAATATTTATAGGGGGGAAATGGACATTATGGATATGAAATAAAATGATTCTTTGTTGCTTAACCTGCAGGTTGTCAGGTCTCTGGCCCCTGGGAGAGTCAAGACCTGGACAGTTTGTCAGAGCTGGTCCAGGATATCCGTCTTTGCTCTCAGGCCCTCAACAAGCTGGACCGACAGACCTTGAAGCAGAGCTGGGACAGGACTCAGTCACACGGACACTTTCTCGACCGAAACTCCAAGTGCCTCCTCTCTGCCACCTCTACTTGAGGGTGGCAGGTGTGTTCATAATAAATAATTAATAATGAATTATTAATTTCATAATAATTCATAATAAAAGTGGTCATTTTTATAAACATTTTGTTTAATGAGGCTACACCAAAAAGAAACAAGATAAAAACAAAATAAAGTGACATGGCGTCCACCGACAGTCTGTGGATAGCTTGTGTTTTATGCATTTTTGTCTGCCTTATTTATACATGTAAAGCTCTGTATCTGTATAAAGAGTTTGTGTTAGTGTGTGAGAGGTTTTGTGTCACAATGGTCCTGTTTTGTAGGATTTGATTTAAAAAAACAAATATAATTAAAGTAACCAACGATGCTATACGTTGACATCGTTCTTTCACTGTAAGACTCAGCAGGCTATGGTGAATAATCACAGCGATTTTCAGGTCTCTGAAGAAATCTATCTAGGAGCTATGACAGTGTAAAGACACCCTGCAATTTTAAATGTGTGGCGACATTTTAATGAGGCGCGTACCAGTAGAGGGAGCCAACGCACCACGAATGGTACACAGCCACAGATGCGCTTTGTGCAATGTATTTGTGACATGCAGGAGTGTCCGCAAAGAAATGTGGATAAGTTGTAAATCCAAAGCTAAAGAGCTCATTCTTGCACTGTTTTGATCAGAACACACGTGGGAATGTTCAAGTGTTGAAAATTTGTAATTATAAAGTGAATTAGGGAAAGATATTAGATACTGCCACTGGCTAGATTTCAACCCGGGTCTCTGGCTCCCAAAGCGGTTCTCCATAATATATTTCAAGCGTTTACCACAACTGAGAGGTGAAAACTGCTGTTTCTTCGTGTTACAAAATGTTCTGTAACTCCAAAAAGAAATATACAACGAAGACGGTTCGAAGTCTTTACGAATTTCACTGTCATTTTCACTCAGTCTCCATAAACTTTGTATGTGGACATTTTTTTAACTGTGTTGCTTCGAGGCCATTTGCGAGAAAACGGCAACTCCTACAATAATGACAGTGCCATTTTGTGAAAGGCAAGAAAAATACCTACATTTTGATGTATAATTTGTGTTAATGAAGGCAAAATTGAGCGTTTGTTTCGGACATGAAGAAAGATTGAGAAAGCGACAATGCATGGTGTGTTTGGCGGTCCATAGCAACCATAACAACCAATATTGATTGAGGGAAAAGGATTTTAGACAGCGGGTAAAAAAAAAGGCAGAGAGAACCCATCCAAGCAAGCATAGCAGGTGAATTTCAGAGCCAGGGATTTTTTTTTTTTCATTCTTTTATTCAGGCACAATTTTATGGAGCCCGTTTCCGCCACTAAAAAAAAAAAAGCTTATCCATAACTCGATATTTCGAGTTCATTTTCTCGAAATTTCGGTTTATTCGATCTCGAAATTCGAGTATCGAATATAACTCGATTTCGAGTTCTTTTTCAAAATTTCATTAGCTTGCCAATCAAAATATTACGTGAATGAGGTGCTTTCTTGTTACCCGGAAGCAGTATGGAGGACCGCGCATCAAAAACGATCCCAACAAATTAAAGTATGTTTGCTGATAGTAACACCATGTGATTCAGCTAATAACACAGGGATTTCATCATTTGTGAAGCCAGGCTGAAAACACTCAGCAATCTGTGCATTCACGACTGGATGTAATACCGGTAGCTTAGCTGTAGCATTTGTAGCTGAGGGCTTCAGCTTCCGGGTAACATGGAAATGACGTCATTCACGTAGATTACTGATTGGCAGCGCTAACTCGAAATTTCGAGTTGCTTTTCTCAAAATTTTGAGTTAATATGTCGAAATTTCGAGAAAATAACTCGAAATTTCGAGA